ATCAGGTACAGCGCAGTGCGCGGGGCATGTGTGGAGCGGCCGGCGGAGCTGGAGCCCGACATCGCTAGCGATTGCAGTGTGGTTCGAGCGTACGAGACGGCATGTGAAAAAGGCGGTTGAGGCGACCATAGAGCACGACGCCACCATGGCCGCGGCCGCCGCCGTGTCCACCGAGGAGGACGTCGAGGAGCTACGGGTCCGCTTGGCCACTCACGGCGGCGTCGAGAGGTAGACGCGGTGCGTCATTGCGAGTTCGAGGACGTCGACTTCGACGCGACTTGAAATCGCGCAGTTTCTTGAGTGTGAATTCTGACTGGGGGCCGAGCGCCTCGTCCATCTGAGCGAGAAGGGGGGCCCAGAGGAGGAGTGCGATCCGGGCGGGCAGGACAGCGCGGGCGAGTTGCGCAAGAAGACGGGCAGTGGCAGCCTCAAGACGGGGCTGACTGCACGTGCGAGAAAGGAGGCAGTGGCAGCTTCGAAAGAAAGGCGACGGGCAGTGGCAGCCGCAAGAGGAACGCGCGCGAGAAGGCCCCGCCGGCCCCGCAGGCGCAGCTGCGAGGAGGACCTGGCCAGGCATGCGTCGTTGGCCAGGGAGGAGGACCGCAGCTCCCTACCGGAGGCCCCAGGGGGGGGGGGGGCGGGCGAGTTTCGGTCGCTCCTCTCGTCCCTTTTGCAGGGGAGGGCCGAGGCCGCGCACGCGTTGAGCGCGAGCGAGGCGCACGCGCGCGGCGGGCAGCCACGACGTGGCGGCAGGAAGGGGCTGAAAAGGGCCCCTAGTCCTCGTCTTCCTCGTGATCGTCGTCCTCCGCCTCGGCCGCCGACAAATCGAACGGCCTCCTACTGGTTACGCAATGGGTTGCGCCCTCGGCCGCCGAGAACGAAACGGCCTCCCAGTGGTGGCGCCATAGTTTGCGCCCTCGGCCGCCAAGAAGATAACTGCTTCCCATTGGTGGTGCCATCGTTTGCGCCTTCGGCCGCCAAGGATAAAACTGTCTCCTATTGCTTGCGCCATAGGTTGCGCCGTCGGCCGTCGAGAATATAACTGATTCCGACTGGTCGCGCAGTAGGATGCGTTCTCGGCCGCCGAATTCAAAACTGTCGCGTAACGGGCACGACCATTTCAGTTATTGCCTCAAGAGGCCCTGACGAAGGGACCCGCGGCGACAGGACGGCGCGCGCTTCGCTTGAACGTGGCATCGAGACGGCCCCACCAAAGCAGGAGTCCGCGAACTTATGCCCAGCTTGCGCGCAGCCGATCCCAGCGCGGCGAGATGCCTCAAAGGGTCCGGTTTTGCCAGGCTCTATATTGAATGGGTGGGATGCTTGCCTGTCGGGATGTTGTTTGTTGTAATATATCAGGAGGGCAAGATTCCACTCGTTTGAATTAGATACCATATACCTTCTGAGTTTAGCCGAGATCTAGTTTTACCGAGCCGGGGCCTGAATCTTAAGTGTCTGCTGCTCACAGATCGTTGCTGCGATTATGTTGCTGCTGCCGTTGCCGCTGGTTCTGCCATTTACTGTTGCCAGAGGGCTGCGGCTGCATTTCTGTGGACGCGGGCTCTCTGCCTTACCCCGACATTACCGTAGTTGGTGTGCACGAGGATCGATGATCCAGGGTTTCATGATGGTGTACTGTTTGTGCTTTTGCTTGTCCACCTTCTGTTCTTGCGGCGCCTGGGGCCCAGGGAATCTCCGCGGACCTGCGAGACCTTGTTGGCCAATCGTCGGAGCCCCAAGGGGGGAGGGAGAACACACTCGCGTATTACAGTATGCTATTGGAGATGAGAGTGTGAGCGGGCCGATCTAGTGTTCGGAACTACGGAAGTCGGGCACCAACGTTCCCGATCTCATTTGGCCGAGACATAGTTTCACCGGTTCTAGTTCCAACGAGCGGAGAGTAAGCTCGTCGGGATCCCGCCCGACCGAGGAAGGAAGCGTACCTTGTTAGGTTCCGATGGGGGCAAAGGGCTCGGAAAGGGGCACTGTTACGACCGCCGGCTTCCGCCGCCCTCGCAATGTTGTTGCCGTCTTCCGCGCAGCGAGTGCCGTCGTACGATTCAAGGGACTGTCACTGGGCCGATGTAAGTCCATGCGGGGTCAAGATCTGCTATTGCATCACGTGTGCGAAAACAAAAAGAGGAGGAGACGAGGAAGAGAAGGCATGGGCATATGCGCGTAGAGGACATGACCAGGCAACGCCAGACCCCTAGAAGACGAAGGCGAGGAGGAGATAAGGAGGACACATTGGCATATGCGTTGGGATGTCACAGGCAGTCACATATTGTTCCCTCCTCCCTTCTCTCCGCCGTTCGCCACCCTCCACTCGGCCGCCCCATTTCCGCGAGGCGGCACGCGACTCTGGGATCTCTCCTCTTCTCCTCAGCTGCGCGCGGTCAACCTCTTCGTCGTCGTTTTCCGACTGGGGTGATCGAGCCATTGATTTCGATCAGCTCGGGCACGCCAGCAATCTCACAGCTGGTTCTCTGCATGGTCGGTAATGAAAGCCGCCCCTTCCGGCCCTGGGGCGCTCCCCATCCCCGTCTCTGTTCCTCCTCCCCCGCCTCCTGCTCTTCTTCCTGCTCCTCCTCCTCCTCCTCCTCCTCCTGCTCCTCCTCCCGCTCCTCCTCCCCCTCCTCTTCCCCCTCCTCCTCCTCCTCCTCCTCCTCCTCCTCCTCCTCCTCCTCCTCCCTCTCCCTCCCTCCCTCCCTCCCTCCCCTCCCTCCCTCCCTCCCTCCCTCCCTCCCTCCCTCCTCCTCCTTGCGCTGGAGGCGAGGGCGCCTTCCTCCTCCTTGCGCTGGAGGCGAGGGCGCTCCTCCTGCTCTTCTTCCTGCTCCTCCTCCTCCTCCTCCTCCTGCTCCTCCTCCCGCTCCTCCCAGCTATCCCTCTCAACTGCGCGGGCTCCTCCCTGACCTGCCTATGAACGCCGAGGCGCCGAGGCCTTCCCAAAACGCACTGGCCCCCCGCCCCCCCCCTCGACCACGTGCAGAGGGAGGGCACCTGCGAATTCGCAAGCGCGGGCCTCACCCAACGATGTCCGGCCAGCACCTTCTAAGAACCAGCCTGCTTCCACGAAGCCTTCCCCCACTCCCCCCTTCCCCCCCTGTGCGCGCCGCCCCGCGCCTTCCCTTCCCAGACATGCGACGTCCTGACTTTTTCAGAACGGGGTCCCTCCCAGATCATTGATTACTGGATTTTTCAGGGAACGACCGACGTTACCGGTAGCGACCGATTTTGCCAGAAATTCCAGGAACGGAGCGGTCGCGGAGCATCGGTCGCCGATCGGTCGCGCATCGGTCGCACATCGGTCGTGGATCGGTCGCGAACGGTCCCCGAGCGCCAATCGTCACACCCGAGCGCCAATCGTCAGATCCGATCGGTCGCGGTGGGTATCCGACTTCCAGCTGGAAGTCCCGACCCTTTCCCTGGGACTGGCTTTTCGTCCCGAGTCGTTTCTAGACGCTCCCGAGGCCCGGCGAGGGGCCCCGGAGGCCGCAACTGGAGCCTGTTTTTTTTTGCACTTGCACGCTGGTACTCGCTCGAAGAGGGGCGAGAGGGGGGGGTGGGGGGCGAACGCCATGCAAGTAAACTTGCCTGAGTCCAAAAAAACAGGCTCTTGGCCAGAAACCTCCCGTCCCGATTGTTTTCTTGTTGGCCACGTGGCCACGCCTGGGCTCCCGGAGCTCCCCCGGCGACGGCGCCGCCGCGCGCCCCGACGGCCTGGCTCGTGCCCGTCTGGCCGGCCCACGGCGGTGGCGGCCGAGCGTCTTCGAGGCCTCGGCGTGCGCACTCCGCCGTGCGCGGCAGACATGTACTTATGAATATATACACATACATCCATCCATCCATCCATCCATCCATCCATCCATCCATCCATCCATCCATCCATACATACATACATACATACACACACACATACATACATACATACATACATACATACATACATACATACATACATACATACATACATACACACACACATACCTACATCCATGCATACATACATACATGCATGCATACATGCATGCATGCATGCATCGACTTGAATACACAAGCGTACACATACATACTGTATACACGCATGTAGATGTACATACATGCATGTATGCATACATACATGTCTGCATATATAATGATGGGTTTATGCGTATGTGTATTTATACATACATACATACATACATACATACATACATACCTACCTACCTACATACATACATACATACATACATACATACATACATGTATGCATGCATGCATGCATGCATACATATATACATACATACATACATACATGCATACATACATACATACATACATGCACACATATAAAAACATATATATATATATATATATATATATATCCGCAGCCGCGCCCTCGTGGCCTGGACCTCCGGGGCGCGATCCAGCGGATGGGCGGTCGCACGGCTACAGTGGGGGGCCATGTCAAGGAACACCCCGCTTGCCTCCGGGGTGCCCTGGGTTTCTTGGGCTTCGATGGTTTTGCGATGGAGAGCGTAACGTTCCCACACCAAAACTCATTGGACGTCCTGGGGTCTCAGGGCTGGGTTTCTTGTGGAAGGTCTCTTGTGGATGGGCCCTCACTGTACGTTGCCAGAGGTCCAGAGATACATTCCCCTCGATCCCACGGATACGGTCCCAGAGAGCTGAGGATCTGATGTTTTCAGTCCCGCGTGTGTTCCTGTACTTCGGCCTCGGGAGTCTGTGATCGGGCCCGGGGTCCATCATAATGAATCAAGCATGAAAGACACGCCCCACGTGGAAGGGGTCGGGACCCCTCGAGCCGCGGATTGAAACAAAAATATCGGTGGATTCTGGGTTCTGCGCGGGGCATCCGAACAACAAAAAAGCGCACCGTAAAAACGCCCCGTGTCCGCGGGCTCCCGGCGCTGGGGACCAGCCTGCGAGAGACGGATGCGGAGATGCCTTGGCCCCCAACACGCCTCCGCGGCACTGCCATCTTCCGCGGCCGCCTCTCCGCTCAGCTCCATTTTTTCGGCGCCCCGCCCGCCTAGAGCCACGCCCCCGGAGTCCCGCGCGTCGGGCGTTGCTTCATGGGGGGGCGATGGCGGGGGGGTGGTGAAGCAGTTATGGGCCCATTTTCCACACCACCACTACCATAGGCAGGAGGGGGAGGAGGAGGAGGAGGAGGAGGAGGAGGAGGACCTCCTCATCCTCGCTTCCACCCCGTCCTACAGATGGTAGTGATGATGGAAAATTTGCCCAGCAAAGCAACGTGCACCTTTTGTGCCCTGAAAAGGTCCTAAGAGGGGCCCTCTGGGGGCCCAGAGGGGCAAGAGAGAGGTGCACGCGTCTCCGCCACCCCCCAATTCTCGGGTGAGGCCAGAAGTCGTTACAGTGAAGGTCCATGCCAGGAAGCGCCTGTGGAGGCCCATGCCAAGAAGCGCCCTGCTTGCCTCCAGGATGCCCTCGCCTGGGGGGGGGGGGGGGCACGTCGCCCGGGGGGCTGTCAAACGACGCGAAGATCGGGACAAACTCGGATCGGGAGAACTCGAAATCTCCGAGAATCGGCGGGCTTGGAGGATGCATTGGGCGCCGCGGCCGCTCTCAGAGCGTTCCGGAACGCTCTGAGAGCGCTCCAGAACGCTCTGGGGCGATTTATCCCGATCCGAGCCCTGTTTTTCAGGAGGGAAAAAAACACACAGACACAATTAATCGTCGATCCCCAGGAAAATATGGGAAAATATGGGAAGTGGGGGGGAAGACAAAAACCCCGAAAATATAAGAAAATATGGGGAATATTTTTATTTGTGTGTATTTATTTGTGTGTCCTGGGGCCCCTTCAGTTTTAGGGGGGGGGGAGGCACGTCGCCCGGGGGGCTGCGCGTGGCCTCTCCCGAGGCCCGGCGGCGAGGTCCCCCCCCCCCCCCTCGGGGGGGAAGGGGGGAGGGGCGGGGGCCTCCTCTCGGGAGGGGGAGAAACACACAGGCACAAGTCATCGTCGATTCCCCGGAACATCTGGGAGAACATGGGTCGGGAGCCTTGAGACGGGGGTCAGTGCAAACGGGGGTCAGCCAGGGCGCCGGATCCTGCAGGATCCTGCAAAGACCCCCTCTGGCTGACCCGGGTTAGGGAGCCGTTCGTGGCCGCGAGGCGGCCGCGCCTATTGGCTGACCCGGGTTTGCGAGGACCTGCGTTGCAGTTTTTTGTTCCCTGCATTGCAGTTTTTGGTTTCCTGCTGACCCGGGTCTGGATTGACCTGGGTCAGAAGATCCCCGAATGGGGAGTGGGGGGGGGAGACAAGAGCCCAGAAAATATTGGGACACATGGGGAATCCTGTTCTTTTGTGTGTGTGTGTGTGTGTGTGTGTGTGTGTCTTGATTCGTGTATCCCAGGGCCCCTTCATCCTCAGCAGGCTCGGGAGTCCGCCCGTCCGGCCTTCTCGAGCCCTCCCCGAGGCCGCAGACAGCCTCCGGCGCGCGCGAGGGCTTCCGAGAAGTCCCGCCGCCCTCGGAGCAGGCCTCCGCCTGCTCACCTCCCGCCCGGGCGCGCCGCCGCATCTCGTCAGAGCCCCGAATCATCAGGGGTAACTTGGGTCAGGGCTAACTCGGGTTCCTTTTTCGGGAATCCAAACCCGAGTCACCCCGGACCCGAGTTACCCCGGATAACTCGGGCGTCCAGAGCCCCGAATCATCAGGGGTAACTCGGGTCAGGGCTAACTCGGGTTCCTTTTTCGGGAATCCCGGAATCCCTAGGGTGCATCCGACGCGGCGTTGCACCCTGGATCATGTTTCGCGGGGCTCGTTTCGATTTTTCCGATCCGATCCGATTCGATGTCGATTGCTTCCGATTCCGAGTCGATTCGACTTGGGATTCCGATTCGGGCTCCGCTTTCTGATTGGAGGCATACCAGCCTGCCGATTTCTGCCGATTCCACTGTTCCCGACTCGGCTGCCGACTTCACCCGATCCGATTCATTTCGATCGCCGATCCGAGTCATCGATCTGATTCTGGGCGATCCTGGTTTCGGGGGCCGGTGGGCCCGAGAACGGCCCCCCTCGCTGCACTGAGCGCCACAGAAGCTCCATGGCCCCACTGGCACAGTGAAGGCGTGGCCTCACTGAAGCCCCGCCTTCGCACGATGGATCATTCGTCTGGGCGGCTCTGCCCGGTGCAGCTGCGAACAAAAAGGGCCCCCCTTTGTCCCTCATGTTTGTGGCCCTCCTCACTGGGGTCCCCCCCCAAAGGGTCAGGGCCACCTGCATTGCTCATCTAGGGGAACGAAAAGTGGGACGAACATAAAAACTCGGAGGTCCACGCGGAGCGCGCCAGGGGGGCTCCAGCGCCGACGTGAGAAATCCGTGAGGACCTCTGAGTTTTTTATGCCGATGCCACCTTTTGCTCCCCTGTTATCATCGTTCGCCACCGAAGCAGTCACCGCCCTGCCCCACCACTGAAGCAGCGCCCAGCGTGCGCGCCGCCGCACTCGCGGCGCCGAGCCTCGGCCGGCGCCCCCTCCCCCCCGCGCGGAGGCGCACCGCAGGCGCGCGCGCGTGCGCCCCGCGCCTCTCGCCCTCCGCTCTTCCGGCAGCAGAGGAGAAGGAGGGGGAGGAGGAGGAGGAGGAGGAAGAGGAGGAGGAGGAGGAGGAGGAGGAGGAGGAGGAGGGGGGAGGAGAAGGAGGAGGAGGAGGAGGGGGGAGGAGGGAGGGAGGAGGATGAGGAGGAGCAGGAGGAGGAGGAGGAGGAGGAGGAGGAGGAGGAGGAGGAGGAGGATAAACAGGATGAACAGGAGGAGCAGGTTCTACCTCCACCGTGTAGAATGAACCTGGCAAAGGCCCCGGTGCCCTCACCCCAAAGGCCTCCCCGTGGCCTGGCGGTGGCGCTTCCAAAGACGATTCAGTCTGCCCTGTGCATTGGCTCGTTGGCCTTTGCACTCGCTCCTGCTGGGACCCTGCCAACTCCGCTGAGCGTAGCAGGAACACACACACACACACACACACACATTCTGCTGAACGTATAGCCTGGTAGGGGTGCAAGTTCATCCGTGCCAGCTCTGCCCTGAGAGCCGCGTCGCGGCCCTCAGGTGGCCCTCCAGACCTGGCCGAGGGGCGTCCAGCCTCCTCAGAGGCCCCTTCCGCTTCCCCGACCCCCCCACAACGCTCCACGCCTCCAGCAGTGCCGCATCTTGATGTTTCCGGAAGCCTTGGGAATGTGCATCTGGAATGTGCATGGACGAAATATTTTCCTATTGAGGTGCAAATCGCGATGATGGGTTGGAAGTTACGGACCGAACCCCCTTCCCCCGTAGAATATTGACACGGGCGGGTTCCGCCTTGAGCATCCAAGATCGATCTATAGTTCGGAGCATCATTATAGTTCCATCTCACAGATTTCATGGATCGCACTTTTGTTCAACCCAGGGTTTTTGAGCGGAACGACGTTCTCTTCGTTAGCGCATCGTTCTTGGATCCCCTGAGCGAGGGGCATATCATATCACCCGCACCCCCTGCGAGGGCATCGCGCATCATCCGTGCATGCACGCTCCGAAGCAGCGAAGGCTCGACGGGCATCGCGCTTCTCTTGTTCGCGCGCCCCGCGCCGGCTTGGCCATCATGGCCGTGGACAGAGCGGGAGTGAAGGTGCGAACTTCTTCCGTCAGCGACGATCAGTTGAAGGCGATGGTACAACAGCACATTGGCTTGATCGAGCGCTGCCTACTGCAAGGGGACACGGATGAGTTCGCGAAGAACCATATGCCTTTCCTCCTTCCGCCTGCACAGCACCGCGCGCGTAAAATGGAAGAGTCTGCAAACAGTCGCGCTGCAGCATAAGCCGAACGTGCGCAAGGACGAGTGCAGGCGTTGGTGCCAGGAGGTGTCGAATGTGTTTAGCAGCTTCTGCACCACATTTTAGTCTTGCAAGACGGGGGCGAAGATGGAGTCGCGCGCAAAGATGCTCGGGGTCGCCATGGGGCCGAAGGTTGGGAGGGCAAGCCCAATCGCAAGGGCGGGGGGGGGAGGCAGGCGCGCCGACGGCAGCTCCGACCTGGAGGTCTCGCCTCCCAGATCGCCCGCGGCCAACGCGTCGCCCTGCGCCCCCGCGGCCGCCGCGTCGGCCAGCAGGGGCCGCCGGCGCGATGTCATCAAGCGCGCGCTCGGCACCAGCCCCCCTCCGAGACCGGGGAAGAAGCAGAGGTTGCCGGCAGCCCGATAATGGCGTTCTCGTCGCAGGACTGCATGTCGGGCACGGAGGGCGAGTTCGCTGAACTGCCCGCCGCGGCGGCACCGCGGGGGGGTCGATCGGGGGGGGGGGGGGGGGCGGGGGGGGAACGAGGGAAAGGGGGGGGTGGAGCGTTGGGGCGCCGGTGAAAAGCGATGAACGGCATGATCATTTGGGTTCTTTATTTTTGCATCGCCGCACACCTGCGACGGGCCCCGATCGGTTTTTTCGCGTTTTCACAGCCGCGGGCGTTTGAATCAACCTTTTTTCTGGAGGAGAGATTACGTGCGCGACCCGCCCCAGGACCCCCTGGCGAAGTTTTTCTGCCTCAGCCCCGATCCGACGCGCACGGCGCTGAAGTTCGCGGGCGGGGGGGGGGGGCGGGGGGGGCTGGCCAAAAAGGAGACGATGGTTTCTTGGCCGCGGTGTTCTCCGACGGCAGGACGGGGAAGACGGAGCGGCCCGGCGCGTCGTTCGCAGCGAAGGCGAAGGCGAAGGCAACGGTTGTCACGGTGCGGAAGCCGGCAGCAATGGTGCTTAGGGAGCCTGCAGGCGCCAAGAAATGCCGCAGCCGCAAAAAATTGCGACGGAGAAGGACGGGGGCGAGGACGGGGGGGGGCAGCTGGAGCCCGATCTCCCCGTGGAGGCCGATGCTGTCGGCGCTGACGACCCCGCTTTCGGCGGCCCCCGAGCAGGGCGCATCGCGACGCATTGCGAGAGGGGCCGCGCGATCGGGTTGAAGCGGACGCGGGGCGGGAAGGACCAATTCGCGCGTTTCGGCGGGCAGAGGTACAGAGACACCTTGACCGAGGATAACTCCCGCGAGATTGGGAGGAGCTGCAGGGCACCGCGGCTGAGGAGGCGGCGATAGCGGAGGCCGAGCGCATAGTGGGATTGCGGCTGGACAACAATCCTCATCACATCCATCGCCATCAACTTCGCCGCCACCATCATCACCCTCTTCATCATTACCGTTTTCTTCGCCAATGCCTTCGTTCCTTTCCTTTGAAATGCAAAACAAGTGCTACGCGACGCCCCCTCGTCGCAGGGGCGCGCGCCCTTCCGCGGGGGGGGTCCCGCCCGCGCCCCAGGCCGCCCAATAGACTGCAGGATTACTACGCGGGGGGGGTGCCCTTTCAGGGGTGCCCCGGCGGAGTCTTAGCAGCGCCCCTATGCGCGAAGGGGGCCCCCTGCGGGGGGGGGCCCGCCGTGGAATGCATGTGGGACAGGCGGTGCAATCTATTCATTCAGTGTGAGCGGCATTGCGTTCTCTCCCCAGCCATCTTCCGCTGGCATTCATGGTCGCCACCCGCGACCGCTCGGGAATGCTGGCAACTGGCGCGCGAGGGGGGGCGACCCCCCCGGCCCCGCCATTCGGGGCCGCGCCTCCGACCGCGCGGCGCTTCCCAGCACCGCGCGTCGCGCTCGGAAAGACGGAGGGGGGGGGGGGGCGGGGCTGGATGAAGAACCGGAGGCAAGACAGGGGGGCAATTGATTCGGCGCCGAATTGTTCTTGACCCCCAGGCTGCTGCCACGCGCGCGGCGCCGGGGCAGCCCCCGGGCGACGGCGGCGGCGGCAGGCCAGCGGCCGCGCGAGGGCGCGGGCGAGGGGCGGGCGGGGGGCGGCAATCCGCGCGCGGCGCCCCTTCGCGAGGGGGGTCATGTACAGAGACCCCTGTCAGAGGGGCGGGTTTGTCGAAGTCTCTGCAAGGAATGACTCGACACCCCCCCCCCGCAGGAGGACGGCCACATGGCTGACTTCGACGACGCCGGCCTGGGGAAGGAAGGGGATTTCGAGCAGGGCGCGAAAGCGCGGCGGCGGAAATTCACGAGGGGCGGTCGCAGGCTGGCTGAGGAACAAATTATTGTCGTCAGTGCTGGCAGCGCGGGCAGCGATCGCATTCCCAGGCGTGCGTCTCTCGCAGCTACCAAGAGCGTCGCGCCATCGAATGGTTTCGCGAGCGTCGCAACGAGGGCAGGAACGGCAGGAGATGGCGAGGAGACAATGGCGAGGTGGACCGAGCGAGGCAACGCAAGGGCGAAAGTAATCATGATGAGGGTGGTGGTTGCAAGACCCCCCAGCAGAGAGAAATGTTTTTGTTTGAGTTGATGTTTTGGCGTTCTCCAGTTCTGTCTCGGTGAATTGTCTGTTCCTTGAAGGCGCCGGCAGCGCAGGTGCGATCGCGGGGGGGGGGGGGGGGGGGGGGGGGGGCGCGCGCGCCGACGGGGGCGCTGACGGACCGCCCCCCTCTTCGCGCGGACAATGGCGCCCCCCCCCCGCCCCCTGCGCGAGGGGGCAAACGCGAGGACGACGCCCCCCAACGCGAGGGGGCGGGGTGGCGGGGCACACGCAACGAGACGCCCCTCTCGCGGGAGAAGCTTCGTTAGCTCCCCGAGGAGATCGACGCCGCTGCAGGAGAAACGCAGCCTCCGCCGCCAAAGCAGCCAAAGCCACCGCCAGGCCCTCCGCCCGCCGCACTTGCGGCAAGAGCAGCCCACGCAGCTGCAGGCGCAGCAGCGCCGCCCGCAGCAACGCAGCCCGCGGCCGCAGCACCGCCCGCAGCAGCAGCAGCAGCAGATGCGCCAGAAGCAGCACATGGAGAAACGGTCGAACAGCTCCACCCCTCCGACACCGAGGAAGACGAACCCCTCGGGGGGGGGGAGCCGGAGGCAGCGATGGAAGGGGACGCTGGCACGGAAGAGGAGCGCATGAAGGAGACGGAATGGTTGGCGGAAGAGCTGGGCAGACACCGACGCAAGCTGCGCCGCCGATTGGAAGCCGCAACCGCCGCAGCGAAACGAAACGGCCCCAGGACCATGGAGCACGCCTCCGCGAGATCCAGGGGCGCAGGGCACAGGAAGTGATGGCTCGCGAGAGGCGGGTGCAACAACAACAACCACAACAACGCGATGCCGCGCTGAGACAGGGCGCTGAGGCCCGCTTGGGGGGCCAGGGGAGGGCGACCGAGGCCACCGAAGAACAGCAGTGGGGGGGGGCTATAGGCGGCCAAAGCGGCCGCCCAGAGAGCGGAAGCGGCTGCCATGGAAGCCGAGGAAGCAGCGAAGGCCGCTGAGGAAGTGGCGAAGCAGCAACAACAAGCGGAGGAACGAGCAGCTCAGGAAATGCAGCGGGGGAAAGAAGCGGCAGAAGAGGAGGGGGGGGGGGCGAAAAGCGGCGGCGGACGCGGCAGAGGCGGAGCGCGCAGAGAACGACAAGAAGAAGCAAACACGAAAACACCACGGACGAGGAGAGAACCGACCCCCTCGAAGCGCGCAGGGGCGACGAGGACAAGGACAAAGACAAGGGCCAGGGCAAGGTGGCGA